TATTCTCACTGTGTTACTCCTCAGTTTACTCTCAGGATAATTTATCATTTACAGTTTCCATGTTTGACCGAGGTTTTGTTTATGAGTGTTCGGTTAATTGTCATAAATACTATCACAAGCGATATTTAATACTTTAATTCATGTCATGTTGATAAAATCAGCTAAAATATAAAAAATATATAAAAAGTTGCAAAAGTAAAATAAATAATAAAAAACAAAAACTGCAAAACAAAACAAATAAAAAAAATATGATCAAAATTTATAGTGAACGATCGGCTTAGTACAAGTTATTGTGAAATCATCAAGCATAATAAAATAATCATAATAACAAAATATGAGGATATTTTTCCATATTCATTTCTGTGACAGTCTATATTGAAAATTTAACAATATAAACATAAGGAGACGTGGTACGTATTATTGCCAGTGAGACAACTATGTCCATTACAAAACAGCAGACAGAGATATGAACAAGTACAGGTCACCGTGTGGCCGTCAACAATGAACGCATATATCGTACAGTAAGTCATAATAGGTCCCGTGATGACAAAATGTGAAACAATTTAAAGAGAAAACCAACGGTCTGATTTATATCACACCAATTTACAAGGCAATCTATATCTCCTTCGGATATTGCACACATTATTTTCGTTAATTTGACTTCCATTTCATGATATGCACGGTAAAGCAAACCATTTCCTTAACTGTAAAAAAAAAAGAAGAAAAAATGCTCATAAGAAAATATTATGCAATTGTGAAATTAAAAGGATACTGAAGAAGCGACAGAAAAACACAAAATGGCAAAAAAAGAGACACGACCTACATCGAAACTATGGATTGGGCACCACAAACGCACACAAAAATAGTGTGAAATTTAGCGGTTCAGAAACGTAAGTATAGTTCCTGCTCCTACAGTGGCACTCGTAGTATCGCCCATAACAGTTAAAATTCAATAATATTTGATATGCGTAAAGTTTTCAATGCTGGGCTCGTGCAATTTAATTATTTTGATGGTCGGGGTCAATATTTTGGAACTTGCTCATTTTCGGCATTTAGTGTAAACATATTTTATTAATAAACTCAAGTTAAATAATGTACTCTATTTGGCATTAACATATTAATACAACTGAATAACTAATAGGATCCGGAAACAAGCTGTTAACTTATATTAATCCGTTTCCTAATTCAAATAAGAACATTTCATATGTGTAATACTCAAGGAGTAGAATGTATAAAATTAAAAGATGTTACACAAGATGGAAAACAAACAAAACATATAATAAGGTTGTGAACACAAGAAGAAGAAAAAGAATCAGATACAGCAGAAATACAATAGTAAAGTGCATGTTTCTGAACGTATACAATTATTTTTGATGTACTCATATGCATTGTGGACCTGTTGAACAAGATGTTTGTAATCATATGACAAATCTTTTGCTACTGAGTATTAATGTTTGAACTGCCAAGATTATTTCGATATTTTGTTAGTAGCGGAGTTCCGTTGAACCGAATAGCAAAATTTCGTCTGACAAGAAATCACGGAATGATTCTGATGTTATGAAAATGCTGTTCACGCATGGTGTGAAATCGGGGGCAGTGCAACAAGTAATGCGCTGTTGTTTCTATAGCACCACATAAACAAAGTGGTGAGACCACTATATTTTTTACAAAAAGAAGCTGATTTAGAGAACTGAATTGCATACGAAGTCCTGAGTGATAAATTTGACCTTATCGCTTACCAATGTAATAATGATTTGGAGGTCTAGTTACCCGAAACTGGACAGACTGATTCCTGAAATCTCCCACTGAAGAAATATTTTTAGGATTCTCGGGGAGGAGATTCTATGAACAGTTGCAGGTAAATAATCAAGGGCGGATCCAGCCATTTTTAAAGAGGGGTCCCAACCATATGTCCCCATTCGAAAGCATTGATCGTCAAAAAAGGGGGGTTCCAACCCCCGGACCCCCCCCCCCCCCCCTGGATCCGCCACTGATAATAATTCGAATAAAGGGCTGTTCTTGTTCGAACAGGGGGATTAGTGACGAATTTCTCGTATTATGATTATATATAATTGAATGGGATTCTGGAACTAAGTTCGATAAATATTCCGGAGTAATATGATTTTTCATCTTGTAGAACTAAATTAAAAGGGGCCTTCCTTCGATCTTTAAGCTTTTCCCAACCTGTTTCGAGATATAATCTCTCTAAAAAAAAACCCTAGTTACGATTCTGGCAGCATCTGTTTGTACTTTTTCAATCTTATCAATCAAAATATTTGTGTTCGGCATTTACTCGTGTCAGTGTAATTTAAAGAAAAGACGTCATGCCACGTTTGTTTGTTTTTGTAAATCCAAAAACAAAAAATACGTACTTTGATCGTACCTCCCCCCCCCCCCCCTAAAAAACCCAACAACAACAATATAACCCAACAAAACACAAACAGACAAACAAAAATAGTATTACGAAATAACAAGAAAAATGATAAAACAAATAAAAAGTAGCAAGCACACTGATTGAAAATAAATCGAAATTTTTATATTTGAGGTGGGTGTTTTTTACATTTCTATTTTTAATTAAAATAAAATGCTTCGCTGAGCGCAGCCTGATACGACCGCAGAGGTCGAACCCTGAACAGTTGGGGCAAATTTGGACACAATATTCAAGCTTGATACTGTCTGAATTTGGATTGTGATCAAATTTTGGGCATAATATAGGTTTCTGACACAAAATAAATGTGGTCAAAGATCTTACAAATCTATTGCGCATTACTGTGCAATTGAAGATTTCTTCTTGAAACTTTTCAAAAGTTTGAAATTTGAAAAATTTTGAAAAAAAAAATATGAATCCCCTAAACAAATTGGACCCCCCCCCCCAACTTTTTGAAACCCCCCTTGTAGCAATAACCCCAAAACTCAATCCAAGCATTGCCTTTGTAGTATGGGACCTTGTAGCACAATTTCAGAGAGATCCATACACTTACACACAAGTTATTGTCTGGAAACTAGAAAAATGCTTGTTTTTGGCCCTTTTTTTGCCCCTAATTTCTACATGTTAAAGGCAATTAACCCCAAACTCAATCCCAGCCTTCCCTTTGTGATATGGAACCTTGTGGTACAATGTCAGAGAGAACTATACACTTACACACAAGTTATTGTCTGGAAACTAGAAAAATGCTTGTTTTTGGCCCCTTTTTGGCCCTTAATTCCTAAACTGTTGGCCCCATAACCCCCAAAAATGAATCCCAACCTTCTACTTGTGGTATTAAACATTGTGGTACAATTTCAGAGCAATCAAAATACTTGTACACAAGTTATTATCCTGAAACTAGAAAATGCTTGTTTAGGGCCCCTTTTGGGCCCCTAAATTCTTAACGGTTGGGACCATCATCCCCAAAATCAATCCCAACCTTCCTTTTGTGGTATTGAACCTTCTAAAAAAATTTCATAGAGATGATCCATTCACTTAAACTAAAATTATTGTCCTGAAACCAATGTGTCTTCGGACGACGACGCAGACGACGCAGACGACGACGACATCATACCATTATACGATCCCAAAAATTTGTTTGCGGTCGTATAAAAATTTAAAAAAAATATTACTCGTATTTATTCTATGTGTAGATATCCTGATATGCTATGCATTCTGGCACGATCAGCATCAACTTCCAAAAAAGGACTGAAGCTCATAAACTCGGCAATCAAAACGCAGGACTTCGGGAAAGTTCGGAGAGCCGACAACCTTGCTTCGGAAGTTGGATCAGCATGCATGAACTTAAAGTAGGCGAGTTATGGTGCTTTGTATAGGTGTTTGGTTTTTAGCTTATATATTCAAACCGGAAAAGGTCTCACTAATTAGCGACAAGAAGCGTTAAGAAGCGACAAGAAGCGTCAAGAAGCGTCAAGAAGCGACAAGAAGAATAAATTTAGCGACAAGAAGACTATTTAGCGACAAGAAAACTTTAAAAAAAAATTATTAGAATAAATATATTTAAAAAAATATGCATTGACAGCAATAAAGAGATTTTCATTTTTTTATTATATTGATACATGAAGAAATTAATGAGTCCCCTAATGAGTCAAGATAACATTTGGAGGTTTGCCTGTGATCTGAACAATTTCTTTCAAAGAATTAATATTGATGACAACTTGCATATATCATCAGCAATATTTTGTTTGTTTAATAGGATAGGTACCTATGTATTCTGCTATTGCTTTATTCCGAATCATGGTTTCAAGAGAATGGCCAGGCATTTTTTTTCGAACCAGCTGATTATTTTCTTGTAAGAATTACTTCTTTTCATAGAAGCATAATGACGCTTAAGGATGAACAAATTAGAATCATGGTTGGAGTAAAGGACGTGTGTCCCTAATTGTATTGCTACAATAACATTCAATTAACACCTATAACTTTGTACACGCGTCAGACTATACAACTACACGCGCCAGAATATACAATTATTGTAAATAGTGAGCAACTGTTGAACACTCAACATTGTCATTAATTACCTTTAATCTTCAATCAACTATAAACTATGCATAAACATCATACATATCGTTTGATAAGTCAATTCCCAAATAAAATATTCACGTTTTAAACATTATCTTTTCTGGACACTGATTCACGTATAATGCATTTTGCATGCAGTCAGTTTATTATATTTTTGACAAAGAGAGTGTTAAAAAATAAATATATTATTGTTCTAAAACACAAGAACATGTAAAAATTAATATCATACTATGACAGGGAAATTTCTATATTTATCAATATATTTAAAAAAAAAAATGAAAATCACTTTACTTTCCGTATATTAAAATAAAAATGTCAATGCATATTTTTTTAATATATTTATTTTAATAATATTGTTATTAAGTTTTCTTGTCGCTAAATTTATTCTTCTTGTCGCTTCTTGACGCTTCTTGTCGCTTCTTGTCGCTAAAATTCTTCTTGTCGCTAATTAGTGAGACCAACCGGAAGTATAGCAGACGGAAATAAGGGGGACAACTTCACTAATTAAGAAGATGGCGATGATTAAAAATTTCCGAGTTTTTCATAAGCTAGAGCCTCCCCCATATAGCATCATTCTCGAAAACAGAAATAATGAGGACACCTTGATGTTTGAATCCAACGCATTAGCTGTTTTATGTACGTGATATATTACATGAGGCATGCAATATACAACATATCCTGTTGTCTCTTTCATAAAATCAATCTCATTATTTATAAGTCCTGGTATTTTACTCTGAAATAATTTACCAAATTTCAGCTGAATTATCGTTTTATATGGCACAGATACGGCGGATTTGGAGATAACACACACGTTCCCGAGGGTGCTTTGATTTCTTATTGTCTTTATGCTTGCAATCATACTTTTTCTGTTTTTTGCCGATCAGATACGCAGATACAGGATATACAAATTAAGAAATAATACATAGCAGACGTAGATTTGTTTTCATTTAATCATAGGTTGGGCTTTTACATTTGTTTATTTTATCTGGAGCGATAGCTATCAGTCAGGGATATAACTCTATGGGGTTATTACAGGAAATAACTTGCATGTGTTATTACAGATATTTTTATGATTTGTCTACTCTTTAAATCTAAAATTTTCTAAATCTGTAGTAACATATGTTTGTTATTTGTAAAATAAATCATCAACATTTTAATTTTTAGTTGGCTCTAGGGAACTCTGGAAACTTTGCACAGAAACTAAATGCATAGCCTTGATAACTAATTTTTGAATTAAATTAATACATTTATCATTAACCATGGTAAATCAATAAGACAAGGCTTTTAAGTGATCAACTTAGCTGTAATAACAAGGCTTAGTTATTAAAGGCATGCAACTTATTATATGAGACACTTGGGATTTACTGTGAAACTTGTGCAGAACCTCATTACATGCTCTGGTTATTATTTCTTACAATGAATTAAAATAAATTGTAATTAAGCATGACGTATGTCTGAGCAAATGCTTTGGAGTGATATAGAGAAGCTGTAATAACACCCTTTAGTTATTACAAGCCATTTTTTTCTGTAATAACATAGGTGTACTATGCATGATTGTCAAAATATGAACTGTTATATCTTTCTATAGTTAAGTATACATAAAGACAATAGCAATATCAATAGAACCTGTAAACATTTTAAAAACTAATGATGTGTATTGTCCCTTTGAAACATGTAACATACATACATGTATGTTATCACAGGTCTTTGATTTTTTAGTCCACAATAACAAACATATGTTATTTTTCTCTAATAACCCTATAGAGTTATATCCTTGACTGGCTATGGTTAAAATACAAATATATGTAAACAAATCTATGGCTGCCATGAATTATTTAGATTCTAATAGGACAGTAATTTTGTCTACCGTGAAAGCCCTATACAGATATTATTATGAGGCAGGTGTTATATGTGAAAGCGGACAAAGTTCGTATAAATTATTTTTGGAATTCAAGCATATTTTAACTTCAGTATCTGGAAAAATCAAAAATGAAAAAGAACAGAATTACGGAAACATTTCCGATGTTGGTCCTGTTGTTAGGGGTTTTGGTTGTGACGTCATTTTCAATATAAATAAAGAAACTCTATCATCATTCAGGTAACGTTTTTTGTTTCATATTGAAGAATTTTTAAAATAGAATTGTTATAAATTATATCTTTAAACGATGACATACCAAGTCGGCTTGTTATCCTTATCAAATACTGAAATTTGAAGTTGATTGGTCAGGTAAGTTTCCCAAGAGAACACATTTTGTGTGCTATAAAATTATATGTTGATTAAGCTCCATACTGATTTTAAAATGTAAGGAATTTATTCTAATTGTTAACTGGCAGTTTTTTTTCATAATCAAAAACAACAAATTTTTAGGAAATAATATCATGAATGTGATGCTCTTTCGTATATTTCACTTAAAGTCCTGTGACAAACGAAACCGGAAGAAAAAAAACGATTTCTGTTAAAATGCGGAAAACTGTTTTGAGTTCAATAGTAGATTGGTTTTTTTTTCCATTTTATTGATTTTCTTACTGTTATTGGGGACTTCGTCCCCATATTAATATCATAGTATTCGATAAAATTGAAACTCACATTTTTCACCTAAAACTTTTCTTTTTTTCAAATTTTATGACATTCTGAGGCGTATAAGAAGCATGAAAACGCCCAGTATTTATATTTGACATCACCAGTATACATATGACGTCACCTTGTTTAGTTGCCAAAGACCACAACATCATTTTGCGGAAATTTCATTAAATATTACACCAAAATAAGAAGTGAAATGGTCTTTTGTTTATTTTTCATTAGATTAGAGATAACCATATTGTATTTCAAGCTTGACCTACTTCAAACGTGGGTTTTACTGTCGCAATTGGAGTTTATCTGGTCGTATAGATAAGGTGGGACAGAAATGTTCAATTTAAAGATTTTGGTTTCACTATTATTTTGATACTGATAATGATTTTTCTACTGTGACATGTATGAGAACTTCATCTAGTCCAAATGATTATGACGTCTTGAAAGGATATTTTATTTTTTTGATTTGATGCCTTCCTATGACGTCATAACACTGAAGCCATTTTTTTCGTCTGGACTTTGAGGGAGAATTTTCGGCTGAACTTTTGTAGCTTGCTATGATGTTTTCTATTAATTTTGTAACTACTGATGTAATTAATATTAAATTCTGTTTATTTTATAGCTGCTGCTGAAACAGAAGCCATTAAAAAGCAGTATGTGAAGATATTGGATGCATATGGATGCCTGGGTGTTCTTAACTTCAATCTAGGTAAATATATGGGTTATGTTAGTACTGGGGATGGCATTAAAAAGAATAGCTGTTTCTGTCTTGTCAAGATGTGCCCCGTTTAGAACTGTTGAAAGCTTTGAAGGATATCAATTATTGTTTCCCATTACCAAAGGATGTGTTGTGAATAAAATTTAAATTTTATCTGCAAGGTCAAATTCCTGAACTTAGTTCAACTATGTTTTACACTTTATCGAAATACAATTGTATATACAAAGTTATGTACAGCTCAGAACTTTGGAAAGACCTCATGGATATTAATGATACTAGTTACTTTTGTTTTCCACAGACATGCCAGAGAATGTGCCATAAATAAAAATAGAATGTCTGCAAGGTTAAAGTCTAAAATTTACTTTTCCATATCCAAACATAAAATGTTGACTGGGATTCAAAACTTTTGAATGCCATGATTGCTGCCAAAACCAGATGTTTTTATTTTTATGGATTAAGGTTACAAATAACAATTTCTTTGATATGTCATATATTGAGACATGTTAGAAGGTGAGGTACAGTGTATCAAAGATTTTGCTCTGGTAAGATTTAGAATTTTTTTAAGAAACAATGCAAGTTAAATTACTTTGCAGGGCTTCACATCTTACAATACTTATGACATTTTATAATAAGTTCACATTTAAATAAAACAAATATTTCTCCATATTCATGTTAAACCACAAAAGAAATATATTTGCCTTCAAGAAAGAGGTAGAAGTTATTAACTGCTTGATATATACTGGGGATTCATTTTATTTGTTGGATACCAATTTTCATGAATTTTGTTGATACATGTTAACCACAAAGTACACATTTTCTAAATTCTTGTATACAGACTTTGACAAATCCATGATATCAAATATTCACAAAAACACAAAATTTTTCCTCAATCCACGAAAATTGTTATTCACAAATAGAAATGAATCCAGAGTATGATGATTCCTAAATACTGATTTATTAATTTGTTATTATTTTTCAGGACAAGAATGTGTATCATATTTGGTTTTAGTGACTGGTTGTTTATCTGTTGGTAAAATTGGAGAATCTGACATTTTCAAAATCACTACAACTCAGTTTGTGTCTTTACGAAACAATCCAGGTGACGAGGAGAGGATACAGGAAATTAAAAAGCTGATGAACTCTGGAACATTTTACTTTTCATGGTCAAACTCTGGTATTCCATGGGACCTTACACTCTGTGCACAAAGAAAATTACAGGAACATGAAACCGATAACAGATTCTTTTGGTAAATTAAACATCGTTCAATTAAAAAAAAAATAACTTGCCAAAAGTGATATGGGTTTGATATATATGAGATGACATTTCAAAAAACATATATCAGGAAATGATTGTATCACTATTTTCTCAAATTTTCTTATGGTGTTTTTGAAAAAAGTGATGAATGTTTATTTTTGAGTCATCCACCTTCATGATTAATTTGAGAAGACTTTTTACTCTAATGTCTCTTAATAATGATGTGATAAAAAGTACTAACATTGAAACATTCTGAGCACTTCATAGAGGTTAAATGCAGGTAACACATGTTGAAATTTTATTTCTTTCTTTTCAGGAATCGTATGTTACATGTACATTTCCAAAGATTTAATGTTGACTGTGATAAATGGTTGTTTAAAATAATATGTGGGGGTGTAGAAATCAGAACAATTTATGCCTCTCATAGACAAGCAAAGGCCTGTCTCATATCTCGTCTAAGTTGTGAAAGAGCAGGAACCAGATTTAATGTTAGAGGAGCAAATGATGATGGAAATGTTGCCAATTTTGTGGAAACAGAACAAGTAAGATTTTTATATGATGAATATTTGATTTTTAGCTCATCTTTCCAAAGGAAATGTGAGCTTTTGCCATCACTTGGCGTCCGTCGTCGTCGTTTGTCCGGTGTAAACTATTTCAAACATCTTCTCCTCTGAAACTACTGAACTAATTCCAACCAAACTTAAGCTGAATGATCCTTAGGGTATCTAGAATAAAGTTTGTGTTTTATTTTTTGTTTCATCATGGGGTAAAAATGTTCATTAGGTCAAGTTCTATCAGCCCTGAAATTTTCTGATGAATCTAACAACCCATTGTTGGGTTGCTGCCACTAAATTGGTAATTTTATGGAAATTTTGCAGTTTTTATGCCCCCTACGTAGTGGGGGGACTATCCACATTTATTGGTTATTATCTTGAATATTATATAATATATAGATAAAAGATAAACTGTAAACAGCAAAAATGTTCAGCAAAGTAAGATCTACAAATAAGTTTAATGACCAAAATTGTCAATTGACCCCTTAAGGAGTTATTGCCCTTTAAGGACAATTTTACACAATTTGTTTATCATGTTTTCTAACTTTAAAAAGTCCTCTCCTCTGAAACTACTGAACCAAATTAAACCAAACTTAAGCTGAATGATTCTTAGGTTATCTAGAATAAAAGGTGTGTTTTATTTTCTGTTTCCTCAGAAAACATGGCCGCCATGGCTAAAAATAGAACATAGGGGTAAAATGCAGTTTTTGACATATCTCAAAAACTAAAGCATTTAGAGCAAACCAGACAAGAAATTAAAGTATTCATTAGGTCAAGGTCTACCAGCCCTGAAATTATCAGCCAAATCGGGTATCTGATTTTTAGGAAATTGCCCCTGAACTGATGATTTTAAGGAAATTTTGCAGTTTTCGGTTATTATCTTGAATATTATTATAGATAAAGATAAACTGTAAACAGCAAAAATGTTCAGCAAAGTAAGTTCTATAAATAAGAATATATGACCAACATTGTCAATTGACCCCTTAAGGAGTTATTGTCCTTTAAAGACAATTTTTCACAATTTGTTCATCTAGTTTGCTTACTTTAAAAAAAATTCTCCTTTGAAACTGCTAAATCAATTTCAGCCAAACTTGGGCTGAATGAGTTTCAGAATATCTAGTATAAATTTTGTATTTTATTTCCTTGTACGTCAAGAAACATAGCCACTATTAAACATACACTTTAAAGTCTAAAAAAGAATAGTTTTCTGTTAATTTGTATACATCCATATACATAACTAAATCTATGTTTTTATTTAAAAATTTAAAAATCTTGATATTTGAAGCTATTTATTATACTTGAAGACACTGTAAATTTATGTTGTTGATGGTCTGTTGTACAGTTCAATTCCTGTTCTACTTTTTATGTATTAAAAAATTTTCTATTTACAGGTTATATTTCTTGATGGACAGATTTCATCATTCATACAAACAAGGGGTTCTGTCCCCTTATTTTGGGAACAACCAGGAATTCAGGTTTGTCTTGCATTTTAAGCATGGAGTTATATTAAAGTGTATGTTTTGCTTTTTTATGATGTCTAGGCAAACAATTAGGTGAAAAGTTTGGGATATATAATGATATACCATTAACAAATTTGGCTTTATAAGATATCTGATTTGTTTTCGTGAAGGAAGAATTAGTGATGGACAAGTCTAAATTTTAACTGGAATTTTACTTTTAAGTTTGTGTTTAGATTTATACAAAGATTTGTGATTCACAACACTACAAAACATTAACACAAAAATATTCAAGACTTTGGAAGCAAAATGGAAGTACACCTGGGCTTATGGTCATAAAGCTTTTGAGTACAATTATCTTACTCAGACTTAGAAATCAACCAATCAAAAAACTGAATTTGGCTTTTCCAGCACAAATTTTGTACTCTTATGTACTGAGTAAAGTTTTGTGACAAAAAGGCCTGTTCATAAGTGGTATAGGGTTGAAAACGATAATGAAATAATACAGCACTAGTTTTGTGTTAGAAAATTATGCATCTGAAAACCTATCTTTAAGAGACAAAATTAATTTTCTTTTTCTTTTGTAGGTTGGTTCTCATAAAGTACGAATGTCAAGAGGTCATGAAGCTTCAGCTCCAGCATTCGAGCGCCATCTGGTGACGATAAAGCAGTTATATGGAGAGCAAGTTATTATAAATCTGCTGGGCAGAAAAGAAGGGGAACATATGTTAAGTCAAGCATTCCAGGTATAAGGAATTTAAGGAATTAGGTTTTACATGATGCTACATGTAATTGAACTGTTGCTATCTTGTAAAATCATAAAATATGTTGTTTGCCTTGGCGCAGTCTATAAGGGGATAATTGTGTTGACAAATTCTAAAGTATAAGACTTTTATCAGTCTATTCATGATTTAGTTATAATGTTAATTTGAGATGTTTTTGATTATTAATAATTACAAGAATTCGTAAAACATTTAGACGTAGCCATGTATTCATTTGTAAAAAAAATGTCATTCAACATCTGAAAGTCATTTCGACCAAGTTCAACAAAATATAATATAGTTATAACAATGGTCCTGAGTGCATTTGGTTAGTTTATGGAAAAATGAATAATATTTTGATTAAATGTTTGTCCGGTTTCTGATTGCTTTATAAAAGCTCATATCAATGCATTCATTTTGTTATATTGCTTACATAAAGTGTGACTTTTGAAGAAACAAAAACGTCAAAAATATTTGAAAAGAACTCTCAGCTTATAACATGTTCATTTTGATAAGGTGCACAATAATTTACTTGTACATTTTCTAGCATCAAATTGAAGTGCATGAGATGTTTTTTAAGGTATGGAGAAAAGTAAACATGTACAATGATGATATAATTTAATATATATATATGATTGTTACATTGATTATCATCATTGATAATGATGTTTTTAATATTCATTGATATAAATTTTAGCATCTTTGATATAATAGTTTTTCCTTAAAGTAGTACTTCTACATTTTTCTTCAGTTTTCATTTGACTATTGACATTCATAAGGTCACTCCAAAAGAGGTGTAGACTGGTGTACCTTTGTCTGTTTGTCTGTACCGGTAAATTATCTTGACACAGACTTTTTGTGCTGATGCGACATTAAGCAATCAACAATCAATCAATCAATCATGTAGATAAAAAAAAAACCTGCTTAGCAATTAATACAGAAGTTACATTCAACAGAAAATTGCATTATTACACTAAATTTAAATATACCATTGAAGTGTAATGAAAAGTCTCTGAGTAATGATCTTTTCTAGTTCCCGTTGTCCATAATATTTCAACATCTATCCAGCCTGTTTTGTAATGGTAACATCTATGATATATATCAATGAATTACTGACATAATTTTCTGTAAATTTACTATTGATGAGATGTTTAAATATCTAACTATAAGGTTTTCCTACCCAAAGATGTTGATGGCCATAGCTAGGTTTGGCATGAGTTTTTGGCTTTCAAAGCTTTTCACCTTCGATTTGAACATGGTCTGTTTATAAATTGCTTCAGGTCACCAGGCCACTTTTAAGTAAATAAAACATTTAAACTAAACAGTACGATTTTAAACTTTTTAAAAGGAAACACGTCCTTTTAAATAAGAGGTCAGGTTGCAAGGTTGCCTGCAAAAACCCCAAAGTCACAGGTCGAATTTGACACATGTTTGAGCCATCTGGTATATATACATACCATACTACTTGTATAAAATACAAACTTTTTTTTGCAATGTATTGTATGTACATGTTTTTTAAAAATTGTAAATTTAATTTTACAGAACTTTTGTACAAGTTATCAGTACCGGATTTTTCTGAATCTCTTAACATAATTGTCCTATCAGTATTGTCAAATTTGTTTTTTTTGCCTTTCAAACTTACTTGCTGCCTAAATTGCCCAAAGGTGTACCTGATGAAAATTCAAACAAAGAGGTTCATTATCTGTTATAATTTTCTTTAGTATATTTATATTATAGTTATCTTCTGTCTTATCTACAGATAGATATTCTTATTTTTGTAAACTCTATCTTGTTTTTGAACATGCATGAAATGTTTGCTATTGGACATTAACCAAACAACGATCTTGTATTTTAAGTATTTATGCATTGATAGCAGTAACTTGGAATGGTGGGTTTAAAAGGAAAGCACTGTATGGTACAAGAGATAACAAACTGATGTTGTAGCCTTTAAGCTTAATACTAATGCATAAGATACAACTACTTCTGGTAGAGCCACTTCCTACTTAAAGTCATTCTTTTTGTGGAAGACAAATCAATGGTGTAGAAGTACAGCTTTGGCATCTGCAAGAATGGCAGATTATTTCTTTTTGCCATAGTTAAGATTTTCAACGCAATTTCCTCATGTGGATTCTGTCTCTGGCATTTTCTTTGGCTCTGTTTTTAACAGCAAAACCATTAAATCAATTTCTTTTAATTTGGAGTCTTTTGTATAAAGTGATTTGATTAGCTTTCTTGTTTTGGTGAAAACCATTTTACAGTTATAAGAAATAAAAGTGTCAGCATAGTTTCTCATTTGAGTATCTTAACCGAATGAGGCATATATCTGACTATATATACAGAGCTTTTACAGCACAAAACAAATTTTCTTGAAACTTGTTCATTCAATTTAAATCTTATCAGGAGCTATTAGAAAAATTATTTAGTGCCAACATTAATACAATTCAGTTGAAACAGCTTGATTCATGAAATTTAACTAACTAAGGATTTACTCAAGGTTTGTATGATCAATAATGATTCAACATTAGATTATTTTTTAATAGCTTTGGATAAAATAAAATGATCACTTGCAATAAAATTGGTGAACACTTGAATGGTTTTTGTTACATTGTGTCTTACAGTTTTTCTGAATCTCAAAGTTTTCATGGTAGTAAAAATGTAATAACAAATAAGAATTATTTTACAGTCTCATCATAAAGCATCACAGTATGGTAAAGACAAACCACTGATTAACTTTGATTATCACTCAGAATGCAGAGGTGGAAATCTGAAAAACCTATGCAAATTGAGAGACAGAATTAAAAAACAACTTGATAGTTTTGAGTTTTTTTATGTAGAAAATGACGAATCAAAAAAGTGAGTATGACATGTATGAAGTGTATTGCATTTGAACACCTAAAAGTGCATTTCTGTCAATACACAATCTATTATCAATTGTTTATTTTATATGCAGAAACAATATAGATACAGAATTCTGATGAGAATCAGGGGAAGAGCAAATTAGGTTTAGTTGGATAAAATATATGAAAAGCATAGAAGCTTTTTTCTTCAATTATACTAAAAAACTAGAAAATTTGCATGAATGAAATTTTTATTCATTTATATGAAAAACATGTATTTCTTCCAATGTATATTTCAAAATGACAAACTTTTAGATAATACATTCTCTACACAATAATCCTGGGTTTGTTTATAAAATTAATGATTAAGTGACTGAAATACAAGTCGGTGTGCACTCATAAACCAGTTTATCTAATTTTTTATTATCGTCAGAAACAATTACTGTTAACAATTTATTTTTCATAGATACTTTTTATGTGTAGCCAAAGCTGCTTATTAGTCCCCTACCGATGAGATGAAGTCTAAGGGGACTTTAGGTTTGCACTCCGTTGGTCTGTCTGTCTGTCTGTCTGTCTGTCTGTCTGTCTGTCTGTCTGTCTGTCTGTCTGTCTGTCTGTCTGTCTGTCTATCTGTCTGTCCATCCATACGTCAGTCTGGCAAATCAATTTTCCACACTTTTTTTCTTCATGCTTGAAGATATTGATTTGATATTTGGTGTATTGTTTTATCATGACAAGTTACAGATCAAGTTCGAATTTTGTTCCGGTCTGATGATTTTGTGCAGAGTTATGGTCCTTTGACTTAGAAAATTCACTTTAATAATCAGTTTTCCGCACTTTTTTTTGTCATTCTTGAAGATTTTGATTTGATAATTGGTATATAGTGTTATCATGACAATTTACAGTATAAGTTTGAATTTTGTTTTGGTCTGATGATTTTGTGCAGTAATGGTATATAGTTTTATCATGAAGTTCAAATTTTGTTTCGGTCTGATGATTTTGTGCAGAGTTATGGTCCTTTGACTTAGAAAATTCACTTAAATAATCAGTTTTCCACACTTTTTTTTGTCATTCTTGAAGATTTGATTTGATAATTGGTATATAGTGTTATCATGACAAGTTACAGTTCAAGTTTGAATTTTGTTTTGGTCTGATGATTTTGTGCAGTAATGGTATATAGTTTTATCATGAAGTTCAAATTTTGTTCCGGTCTGATGATTTTGTGCAGAGTTATGGTCCTTTGACTTAGAAAATTCACTTAAATAATCAGTTTTCCGCACTTTTTTTTGTCATTCTTGAAGATTTTGATTTGATAATTGGTAAATAGTGTTATCATGACAAGTTACAGTTCAAGTTTGAATTTTGTTCCGGTCTGATGATTTTGTGCAGTAATGGTATATAGATTTATCATGAAGTTCAAATTTTATTCCGGTCTGATGATTTTGTGCAGAGTTATGGTCCTTTGACTTAGAAAATTCACTTAGAGAATCAGTTTTCAACACTTTTTTTCGTCATGTTTGAAGATATTGACTTGATATTTGTTATATAGTTTACACCATGACAAGTTAGAGATCAAGTTAGAATTTTGTTCCAATACAATGGATTTTTTACCGGAAGGAGACTATGTATTGCCATGCAATACTCACAGAATGCTTGTTCTAGTTGACATAAGGAGATTATTTTTTTTGTGATTTTTTTACTTGTTAATGAGAGCGCATCCAAGTTTGACTTTTTCCTGACAATTTATCTTTGCCTATTTTTTCAACTCATGAAGGTGGCACAAATAAATCCTTTATTAAAATTTGATAAGTTGGTTAATCGTATGTAAATTGTTAATTATTATAGTTCATAATTCATGCAGGGACCATTTGAACCAGTTTTATAGATTACTTTTGTTATATTTTCAGGTTTCAGACAGGGACGATCAGAACCAATTGTTTAGATTGTTTAGACAGAACTAATGCTACACAGTCTATGATTGGTGCAGAGGTAATGTTTTATATGTCAGAACTAATGCTACACAGTCTATGATTGGTGCATAGGTAATGTTTGATATGTCAGAACTAATGCTACACAGTCTATGATTGGTGCAGAGGTAATGTTTCATATGTGTTTTGTACAGGACGTGTGTTGACTAATCATTATGATTATGCAATTTATCAACAATTTGTTAACTGCTTCATTGCATATTTTAAAGTTATAGTTTTTCTATAACAAAAATATTCAAATGATTCCTCATGAAATTAATACAACATTTCAGCTGTTGTAGAATCTAAAATTGATTTACATGCCTTCTAGGACTGACAATTAGAGATTTTCAGACAAGAAATTCTAATATTATTTTCTCTTAGTCCTTTATTTCTTTATGCAACCCAATATTTTTTATTAGTATGCATCACTTGACATTTTCATTATACACAAGAGAGACACTAAGTCTGGTTAGATAGTAACTGATTGTACTTTTTCTCTCTAATGTAGATTTTACCAAAGCAGTTAGAATGTCTTGGGTTATATAACAAACCACAGATGATATCGAGGTTTGAGGAGATTTACAAACAGATCTGGACACTTAATGGGGACCATTGCAGTAGAATCTATGCTGGGACAGGGGCTTTAGGAGGAGGAAGATCTAAGGTATTGCTCCAAGATTTAGGCCATACCTCAATTTCAAATTATTGAGATTCTTTTTAAAATTTTGAATATTTTTTGTTTAAGTAAAAAAAAGACATTGTTAGGAATAACTCTTTTTGAACTACCTTGAGCAAGTAATCATTTGAGTTGAAAAAGTTATTTCAAGTTTACAGCATGTAATACTGATTATCTGAGGTTTATCATTATGTGCAATACCTTTATTTTTTTTTGTTCACATATGAAATTCAAGATTTTGATAATTTTATTTTGTCAAGAACAAAAAAAAAATAAGAAGTTTTTTTAGTTATTGCCCTTATATAGATCAAATACGTGCAATGCAGAGGACATTGGAACTCTGTTCTTTAATTTTTTTAATTTCAGTATTCCGATGCAACAAGGTCAGCATCTAGAACAATACAAAATAACTTCTTAGACAGCAGTAAACAAGAGGCAATAGACATGTTGTTGCTAGGCAGTACATTACGGGGAGATCTGGCTGATAAAGTTAGAGCATTGTTATCAACCAGAGTTTTACATGGTAATTAGAAAACTTAACAATGATTCTTTCAATATGTAACAAGTATGATATATTTTTATGTCCCCGCCGTAGCGGAGGGGGCATTAAGTTTTACCCTTGTCCGTCTTGTATGTACGTCCGTACGTCCCAAAGTTGGTTTCCGTTCTCTAACTTTAGTTTTCCTCAACCAAACTTATGCACAATGCTTATTACCACAAAACACAGATCAAGTTTGAATTTTGGTGGCGTCACTTTAACCGTTCTAGAGTTATGCCCCTTTACAAATGGAAAAATTGCTGAATTTTTCGTTTCTGTTCTCTAATTTAAGTTAGCCTCGACCAAATGTTATGAAACTTATACACTATACTTATTACCACAAAACACCAATCAATTTTGAATTTTGGTGTTGTCACTTTTACTGTTCTAGAGTTATGCCCCTTTACAAACGGAAAAATTGCTGAATTTTTCATTTCCGTTCTCTAACTTAAGTTTGCCTCAACCAAATGTTATGAAACTTATACACAATACTTATTACCACAAAACTCAGATCAAGTGCAATTTGGGTAGTGTCACTTTTACCGTTCTTCAGTTATGTCCCTTTATAACTTTATATGATATGCAAGCGCGGTCATCGACACATTCCCCATTTATTTTCAGTATGAAAATAGTAGTTAGTTTATCACTGTTGATTATTATGAACGTTGCTTCAAAGTTTGTTTATTGCTTCCAAATTTTAAGGTTAGAAGTATAAGGTAAAGGTGACATAATAACTTGAAAGATTAGTCATGAATACATCTGGATAACCCTGATATTTTGTTTTCACTTGAAATGAATTTAATAAAGTTGAAAATCCAGGTGCATATCTCAGATACCTGTGATGGTATATCAATTATATTTCACTACAATCTTTTTATATAGTTCAAATGGTTTGCTTTAATAATATCACAATGATGTCATGCTAGAGTGACATGTTGTAAAACTTGTATGTAAGCCAATTTTGTAGCTTTTCTTTGGGCATCTGTGTTTTTAAAAAGGCAGATCACAAAGTTTATACTAACTACCAACCAAAATATTTTTGTTTGAAAATTCCTTCAATATTCCCTGTTACTTTGTTTTGTCTGTATTAAACTTATTGTCCTTTTATTCAGCCCAAGCTCCTATCCTCCATACAATGATCCAAAGGCATCCAGAATATACCAAAAAGAACCCTCTACGTATATGTGTTGGGACATGGAACGTAAATGGAGGAAAACATTTCCGTAGTATAGCATTCAAGCATCAATCCATGACTGATTGGTTATTAGATGCACCTAAGATATCAAAAGAAAATGATACAGGTAAGACCACAGCATTTGTGAGTCAATTTTTTTAGTAATAGAAAATGTAAGTTATTTATTACTTAATTTAATCTAAATTGTTTCTCTTTCCAAGTAATAGTGGATTTACCTTTATCATTAGAATCACTGCTTAAGGGGTAAGTGAATTACAAGTTTCATTTAACTGGTTTAACTAAGTCTTTGAAAAAAGTAGCATGGTTAAGTGACACAATATGTATGTATCAGTAAAACAAGCAAGCAATGTAAAGTTTTTGGTTGTTATCTCTTTGACATATACCCTAAATCTCCTTTTATTTATACTGTGGATTCTTTTTTTTTCTTGGGTACCAATTTTCGTGGATTGAGGAATCTTGCATTTTCGTGGGTATTTGATTTCATGGTTTTGCCTAAGTCTGCATACAAGCCTTTAGACAATTTGTTTAACATTTAAATTCTTGGTTCATCTGTACCCATTTGGTATATTGGTATCCAACGAATAATAATATTGAATCCATAGTCAGTAATAAACATTTGTATACCACTACAAAACCTGTCAAAAACCATTACTTCAAGTGTAATATAATTATTTTATTTTTGTATCATATGATGTTGTTTTAGGATGTACAATTATTCCATTTATTTATTGTTTAACGATGTGATCTATCTAATTTAATAGGAGTTGTTTCCCCTGATGCAGACCTTGACAAACCTATAGATATATTTGCTATTGGATTTGAGGAAATTGTAGATTTAAATGCCAGTAACATTGTCAGTGTAAGGTAAGATGTCAGGAATTGACATTAATTCAATTATATAGTTATGTATGATTTACAATGTTGGTGGTATACTGACCTTGTCCATCTATCTGTTATCTAAACTTTATTTTTATAGTACTCAATTTCTGTATTAATGAATGTTTATAATGTTGTACTGAGTAAGCAATTTTCAGATCTGCTTGGCAGAAGAGAGAGCAGTTTGTGCTCAACATGTGTAAACAATCTGGTTTTACATAGGGTCAACTGCTTCAGATACTTTATCACCTAAACAGAATCATTTAATTTCTATAATTGATCTTGCTTTTTGTGGAATTAGAACATGTTAACGAAACTGAGCTAATAGTAATATGAAAACAAATTCAGTTTGAACAGGAAAAATACCGTTCCTCAAACAGGGAAGCAGTTTAAAATAAAATTAACAAAAGGGTTGAATGAAAATAACCAGGCAACACCAATGTAAATGAAAGGTAAACTTTGTATTGGAAGAAAAGAAATGAAAAGATGTTATATTTTTTATTTCAGCACAACAAATGCAAGGGAATGGCAGAAATATATTCTAAAGGTCATTTCTCGGGACCATAAATATGTTGTGTTGACCAGTGTTCAGCTAGTAGGGGTCATTCTGTATGTGTTTGTCAGACCACAGTTGGCCCCATTCATTAGGTAATTATGAATGGTTTGTCTTAGTAATAAATACATTAACATTTGTAGGAATAACCAAATAAGATTTAAATAGTAGTAAAATATGACCAATAATATTGTTTTAAAAAGTCAAATATAATAGCATATAATATTCTGCTAAGAAAATTACAGTGACATGGATGCACAGGCTAAGTTGTTGTCTTGATGGATCTGCTACAAAATCAACAGATGTTTGTGTCCAGTACATTGAAGAATGTAAAGTCTGCTGACAAATAACATCAATTAGTGGGAGGAGGGGAATTTAGCCTAAATTTCAGTCTATTAACTGCTGCTGTAACCTTTACCTTTGATCTAAATATCAAAAGGGTCTTTTTCATGTCAATGTGCATTATTCACCAAAGGTAGGGAAATATCTGATTTATGGCACGAAAGATATAGTCCTAAAAAAAAAGATTCCCAAACTTTCAATGCATTTATAGGATCCGTGACCTTGACCTTTGACTTGACTAAAAAATAAATAGGGTCTCCTATCCAAGTGGCATTCTCCAGCCAATTTTGGTGTAGGTTTAACAAATGGTTCAATAGATGACATCCCAAAAGAAAATTTTAAGTCTATCAATAACTTGTGTAACCTTGACCCTTTATCTAGTTACCTTTAGATAAGAAGTGGTGTTTGTCATCTCACGGGGCATTACCAAATAAAATTTGGTGAAATGTAAACATGATGAAACTAAAAAATTTCATTTCCATCATTAGCTGCTGTGGCCTTGGCCTTTGACCTATTGACCCCAAAATCAAAAAGGGTCTTCTTCAGTCTTAGGGACATTATGGAACTAAGTAGCTGTTATCACCTTGTTCTTTAACCTATTGACCCCAAGGGTCTTCCTCTCAACATGGACATTATTGAAACAAGTTTGGTAAAAGTTATACATACGGTTCATTAAGAGGTCATTCTGAATCCAATGTTGCTCTGATTTTTATACACCTGTTTATGGGACGTATTATGGTATACCGTTGTCTGTCTGTCTGTCCGTCGTCAACATGTCGGACAATAACTCAAAAACACTTTGACCAATTTGCATGAAACTTTTGTGAATTGTTTATATCTATTGACGTGAGCTCCCTTTCGATTTTTATAAATTTTAGATTTTACGTTTCCGAGTAATTGTGGTTTTATTCATTAAAAAAGGGGGATTTTCCAGTTTTCAGACAATAACTCAGAAACGCTTTAACTAATTTGCATGAAACTTTGGTGAATAGTTTATATCTATTGACGTGAGCTACCTTTTGATTTTTATAAATTCTAGATTTTATGTTTCCTAGTTATGGGGTTTTATTCATTAAAAAAGGGAGATTTCCCAGTTTTTTTAACAATAACTCAAAAATACTTTATAGTTTTTGTGAAACTTTGGTTGATTGTTTATATCTATTGACGTAAGCTCCCTTTGATTTTTATAAATTTTGGATTTTACGTTTCTGAGTTATGGGATTTTATTCATAAAAAAGGGGGGATTTTCCAGTTTTCATACAATAACTCAAAAGCGCTTTGAGCATTTTTTATGAAACTTTGGTGACTGGTTTATATCTATTGAAATAACCTCCCTTTAGTTTTTATTTATTAATTTCTGATATGACATTGAGATGTTATGGAACTTTATTCTTTGAAATGCAACGGGCGTATCATCCTCTCATGGCGCAGCTCTTTATTCTGTTAAGAGTATACATATATATATATGCTAATAAGGGTGCATGGGTTTTTGCCTGGAAGATTGATTGACATAAAACATTTGGAAATTTCTGTGTTTTTTTAACAGAGAAATATCTATTTTTATATTTTTTCAGAGATGTTGCTACAGATTCTGCTAAGACAGGTCTAGGTGGAGCTACTGGAAACAAAGGAGGTGTGGCTATCAGATTTTTGGTCCAGAGTACATCAGTGTGTTTTGTTTGTGCACATTTGGCTGCTGGTCAGTCTCAAGTCAATGACAGAAATAGCGACTATGCAGAAATAACTCGTAAAATTTCCTTCCCCATGGTGAGTCAACTCCATCCAATATTTGAGTGTATTTGGTTTCATTTTCTATAAAATATATTTTAACCTATTTTAAGTGAGAAAATGTTGAAGATAACCATTATATTTTCATACACTTACAATATGAATTGTTAACAATTTTTAATCACAAGCATTGATGTTAATATACATTATTACCGCACAAATTAACGCTGCACTTACATGATAATTATATATAAACTCTTATTCATGTGCAAGCCTTTTCATGTATCTAATCATAGAAGATATTTGTATAAGAAATCTGGTTTAAACTATACATGTATATTCCATCTTACCTTCTTAAACATGTATTGCTTTTTATCTTTAAGCTTTTATGAACCCTAATTGTTATCAACCTGTCGATCTGTGGCACTCATCAGAATGCTCCATTGGCATTGTCGATCTATTTTTATATTTTTTTTGCTTTAAGCAGCTTTTTATTAAATTGTTAAGATATTCAGTTTGCAATGATATTATGGGGGGTTACAAGTTAATAATTGACATTTCAGTCTGCTGATATTAAATGGAGTTAGCAATACCTAGAAATTTTTAATTAGTTTTAGTTTTTCAGACTTTTAGGGATATATATTGATTTGTTTTTGTTCCAGTTGACTGTTATGACTCTTGAAAATAAAAAGATTTCATTATGTTTTTTTACTGCAATTTTCAGTAATGGAATTAAGATACTTAGTAAAATTTAGTTATAAATTCATGAGGAGTTTAAGATGAACTTTGAATTCTGTTCTTGTTAACTAATTGTTTTAGCTAAGTTGTGATGTAGTTAAAGTAACTTATGATATCACAAATGCCTTCCTGGTGTGCTGTTGTCTGGATGTGAATATTTTGATTTCCACAAAATCTTTTACTCAATAAACAATATATTTACTAAACTTGCCTCATGGAATGAAGAAATCACTTGTTTTTTTAGGTCTCTATGTCAAAGACCCAGGTCTTGGCAGTAAATAATAGACTGAAATTGATGCAATGTTTTGGTTTACAGATGACATCTTTTGAACCATATATCCAACCTTCAATGAACTTGAAAATGCCCCTTGGGTAGAACGAACCTTCTACTTATTTTTTGGTCAGAATGTCAAAGGTCAAGGTCACAGTGCATATCAATGGACCAAAATTTTAAGAAGAGTTTTGTTTCCAGAAAATATAATTTGGCACATAAATCAGTCACATCAGCAATTAATAGACTGAAATTGTGCAAATTTGGAGTTCTTATATTATATCTTCTGAACCATGCATCCAACAATTACCAAAGTAAGATTGATAATGTCCCTAGGGCTTAAAAAAGTTGGGCTAAAATCTTGTATCCTGTCAAAAATCTGTTTTCTACTACAAATCCATAAAAATTGTAACTAGTCTTATGAACCAATGCTGCTTTAGTAATTTTTGAATAATGGTCCATGAACTTTCCTATACAGTGAAATGTGACAATGAATAATTTTTTTTTTATTACCAGTAATAAAATAAGGAGTTACAGCATATTTTTATACGACCGCAAAAAAATTTTTGTGGTCGTATATTGGTATGACGTCGTCGTCGTCGTCGTCGTCGTCGTCTGGCGTCGTCCGAAGACACATTGGTTTTCGCACTCTAACTTTAGTTTAAGTGAATGGATCTCTATGAAATTTTACCACAAGGTTCAATACCACAAAAGGAAGGTTGGGATTGATTTTGGGGGTTATGGTACCAACAGTAAAGGAATTAGGGGCCAAAAAGGGGCCAAAAATAAGCATTTTTGGAACTTCCAGACATAACTTGTGTGTTAGTGTATGGATCTCTCTGACATTGTACCACAAGGTTCCATATCTCAAAAGGAATGCTGGGATTGATTTTTGGGGTAATTGCCTCAAAATTTTAGGAATTAGGGGCCAAAAAAGGGGCAAAAAACAAGCATTTTTCTAGTTTCATGACAATAACTTGTGTGTAAGTGTATGGATCTTTCTGAAATTGTACTACAAGGTTCCATATCACAAAGGGAAAGCTGGAATTGAGTTTGGGGGTAATTGCCGAAACGTTTAGGAATTGGGGGCCAAAAAGGGGCCAAAAATAAGCATTTTTCTAGTTTCCAGACAATAACTTGTGTTCAAGTGTATGGATCTCTCTGAAATTGTACTGCAAGGTACCATACCACAAAGGGAAGGCTGGGATTGATGATGGGGGTAATTGCCTCAATATTTTAGGAATTAGGGGCCAAAAAGGGGAAAAAAACAAGCATTTTTCTAGTTTCAGGACAATAACTTGTGTGTAAGTGTATGGATCTTTCTGAAATTGTACTACAAGGTTTCATATCACAAAGGGAAAGCTGGGTTTGATTTTGGGGGTAATTGCCCTAAACGTTTAGGAATTTGGGGCCAAAAAGGGGCCAAAAAACACATTTTTCTAGTTTCCAGACAATAACTTGTGTTCAAGTGTATGGATCTCTCTGAAATTGTACTGCAAGGTACCATATCACAAAGGGAAGGCTGGGATTGAGTTTGGGGGTGATGAATCATAAGGGGGTTCAAAAAATTTTGGGGGGGGGGATTTTTTTTTTTTCCCCTTTTTTTTCTTTTTTTCCTTTTTTTTTTCTTTTAAAATTTTCCATTTTAAGTTGGTTATTTCTGATTTATATTTAAAAGCAAATAATAATGATATGGTAGGAGATACACACCAAACAGGATGTGTAAATTATTATATAATAAGTATTGTGCAATAGCAAGAAATTTTCAATTGCACAGTATTGCACAATAGCAAGAAATCTTCAATTGCACAGTATTGCGCAATAGCAAGAAATCTTCAATTGCACAGTATTGCGCAATAGCAAGAAATATCCAATAGCACAATATTGCGCAATAGCAAGAAATTGTCAATTGTACAGTATTGTGCAATAGCAAGAAATATTTAATTGCACAGTATTGTGCAAAAGAAGATACTTCGTATAAATTGCTTATTTCTTGACCAATTTCAATGGGGTTTTATTCTTGAATTCTTGGGTTTCTTTAATATGCTGAATCTAACCGTGTATTTAGTTTTTGGATTTTGGGCCCCGTTTTTAAATTGGTCCACATTGAGGTCCAAAGGGTCCAAAATTAAACTTTGTTTGATTTCATCAAAAATTGAATTATTGGGGTTCTTTGATATGCCGAATCTAACCGTGTATTTAGATTCTTAATTTTTGGTTCCGTCTTCAAATTGGTCTACATTAAGGTCCAAAGGGTCCAAAATTAAACTTAGTTTGATTTTAACAAAAATTGAATTCTTAGGGTTCTTTGATATGCTGAATCTAAACATGTATTTAGATTTTTGATTATGGGCCCAGTTTTCAAGTTGGTCCAAATCGGGGTCCAAAATTAAACTTTGTTTGATTTCAACAAAAATTGAATATATCGGGTTCTTTGATATGCTGAATCTAACCATGTATTTAGATTTTTGATATTTGGGCCCTGTTATCAACTTTGTCCACATTGAGGTCAAAAGGGTCCAAAATTAAACTTTGTTTGATTTCATCAAAAATTGAATTCTTGGGGTTCTTTGATATGCTGAATCTAACCATGTATTTAGATTTTGGATATTGGACCATAATAGGTGAATGTCCAATTTAAGATTTTTAAGTTCTTAGACCACATTCATTCTGTGTCAGAAACCTATGCTGTGTCAAATATTTAATCACAATCCAAATGCAAAGCTGTATCAAGCTTGAATGTTGTGTCCATACTTGCCCCAACTGTTCAGGGTTCGACCTCTGCGGTCGTATCAAGCTGCGCCCTGCGGAGCATTTTATTATTTTTTGGAACATGAAAGACCTTTTAGACAGTAGAGTAAATATTATTAATATGGGAATTGGACTCTAGTTATTTTATGTATATATTTTTTTAAATCAAGCAATTTCTAACATATTTTCACTAAATTCAATATATTTCTGAACTGTATTTATTATTATATGAACAATTCATATTATTCTCCACAGGAACAATGCATGGTAGGACTTTTAAACATCTTTGCATTATGTCATTGTTGTTATCTGATTGTTGCATGAGCCAGTATACTGGCTATTTGTTGTTGAATATAGGAACATATATCTAATAATATATAGCTAAATGGGCAGAGAAATCTAAAAAAATATATAAATGAATACCATATTTTGACCATGGAGTAATCCCTTAAAAAAATACAATAGACATAATCAAAACAAACTCTCCAAAGCTCAATATGCTTATTTCATTTAAATATTTCAAGTCACTTTTTTTTCGATTTACTATTTACATTAAAAGTATCATATGAAAGTGTGCATTTTACTTAGTGGTAGTTTTTAGCAGATTTTTTTTGTTTGTTCTTTACTAAATGTTTGAATTGTTTTAAGGTTCATGAGAAGGTAATAAGGTCACCAAGCTTTAGGAAACAAGACTTTTTACTACCTGTCATAATAACAAATTCATTTTCATTAATTAGAATTAATTGCATCTTTATCTGCATGTATTATGTATACTGGTTCATAGGTAGCTCTTAGATTTAACACTAAGATAAAATAATACCAGTCTAGTTCATTGTAATAGTGATAAGTATATTTTTTTACAAAACTATGTCTGATCTATATGACACTATTTATTAAATAGTAATACATTAAATACTTTTAACTGCATATTTACTATAGTATACCATGGATGATTTCACAAACTCAGTTCAATATAAAAAATAAGGAGATGTGGCACGATCGCCAATGAGACAACCATCCACCAAAGTTCAAATGAAGTTGATGTAAGCAATTATAGGCAACCGTACGGCCAGTTCACATTAAAGTTCATAATATAGTGAGATTGTGAAGGATAAGTATATCATGTCAGCTTCTGATGCAGCTGTATACATTTTATTTAACTTTTTAGCTCACCGGGGCCCAAAGGGCCCCATGTGAGCTTATGCCATCACTTGGCGTCCGTCGTCTGTCGTCGTAAACTATTTAAAAAATCTTCTCCTCTGAAACTACTGGGCCAAAT